CATGCCCTCCCTTCTGCCTGGCTCCATCTTGGGAGACTATTCCTCGCCAAGCAAAATCCTCTAACAAGCTGTCTAAGAAATATACGTAGCAACAATAAGGGTTACGAACACTACCTATTTGGAGTGAAACCAGGCATGCTGTGTACACCCTGCCCTCCCAGCCGTCCCAGGAGTGGCTCAGCCTGGGGCAGGAGACTGCGCAGCTCTGCGGGCGTAGACGTGCCCTCGCTCCTCCCCTTGCCAGACGTCTGGCTTTACGCAGATTACTTCTCTAGGTGCCTCGGTTTCCTTACCTGCAAGGCCAGGATGAGTCGGGTGGAGTGTTCTGACGGGATTACTGTGTGGATTAAAAGCGCTCCTGCTTCAGGGCCTAGAGCATCAGGCTCGCCCTGTGGATGGGGGCTGTGGTCGTGAGGCCTTTCGAGGCCTTTTGCAGGTGAAAGGAAGGTGCTCTCTCCTTTGCCTGCATCTTTCTCTTGTCTACACCGGGTGAATGCCTGGTTATCTGTACCATTCAGGACTCTGAGGAACTCAAATCGATTGATTTGAAAGGATTGGATTTCTGGCTGGGTTTGGGGCGGGTGGAAGGAGAGTTCAGATGTGCCCATCAGGCCTGAGCTTTCCCCCAGTTTAACCTTCCTTTCTTCATGAACTAGTTGGATGGGGACCCCCCGGAACCAGGCCGACCCACAAGTGTGTCACACGCCCAGGTGCAAGATAGAAGCAGGGACAGTCTCAGAGCCCTGGGGACCTGGCCAGCCTCTTGCGGTCCTGGCCCTGCCCTGGGGGCTGCAGGTTTTCCTGTTTCTTAGGTCCTCAGCTCAGAAAGGAAGAGGCTCTTTCCTGCGAGGTCCAGAGAAGTTGCAGGTCATGTGTCCATGCTGGAGCCAATCACTGCAGCCAGGGTTGGGGGAGCTCTGATTGGCCAGGGCTGTGTCATGTGCTGGCCAGGGATTAGTGTGCCCCACTCCAACCACCGGAGGAGGGTGTTGAGGTGGAGGTTCCTCTAGGAAAATGCTGGACAAAGCCAAAGGCCTTTCACGCAACATATTCGAAGTCCCTTGTGCCAGGGACCTTCTGCTCCCTGGGATGGCTCCTCTCTATGCACCTGCAGCAGCTGGGGTCCCTCTCATCCACCTATCTTCGCCTGGTGTATTTAATGAACACCTACTATGCATTAGGCACAGAAAAGGGACAAAGCAGGAGAGGAGCCAACAGTGACAGGTGGGAGGGAGGGGGAGCGGCCTCGAGGCAGGAGAACCTGGTGAGCCTGGGCTGCCGGGCCGGAGGAGGGAGGTCCTGCAAGAGGAGGCACGGTCAGCTCAGTGCGGTCAAGGAGGACCGCTGGTTGGGCTGCTTAGCAGGGAGGCTGTGGGTGACCTCTGCAAGAATGAAGGGGCAGCGACCTGGTCCTGGTGGCTGGGGAGAGGAGAGGCTGGGCTGGAGGGACGGAGGACAAGCACAGACAAGCCTTTGGAGTGGTGTCTGTGAGGGGGTGGAGAAATGGCAGCAGGAGGGGTTGGGAGCAAGGGGGCTTTCCCTTTCTTAAAATTTGTTTGGAAATGCTGACCAGGGTCATCCCAGAGAGAGGCTGATGGCATGGGAAGGCGGGGGCGAGGCAGCAAGAGATGGGTTCCTGAGACTGGGCTGGGAGGGCCTGAGCAGGAGGTGGGAGACAGTTTGAGGTCTGAAAGAGAGATCCTGCCTGGGCCCTAGACTTCCCACTGGAGTAAGGTGAGGCCATTGGCTGGAGTTTGGGCAGAGGGGCCGCGGAGCTGTAGGGAGGGGAGAAGTCGTACAATCCTGTGTGAGTGGGAGTCTTCACCTAGAACGTGGCAGCTGCCAGCTATCTGTCTACCATGCTGGGAGGAAGG